CCAGCGTTCAAGCGAGAGCAGCCAAAATGGCAAGGCCCGGTGCAACACGCTGCCACTTCCACCATATTTATCGGCCAAAAGAGATAAAGAATCCTAAATCCAGCCCAGATTTAGGGGTGGAAACATCGGCTCGGGCTCTGGGTGGGAAGAGCTTCACAGTCACATTGCCAAAGACCGGAAACAGACGAAGAAGTGGGGCCACCTCTGCAAACAGTCTACCACTTGTGTCACCTTCCACTCAGTCAAGTCTTACTTCTGAGTCACGCCCTCCCTACCAGCTGAATGATCTTAGAGAAGAAGGTGAGAGTAAAAATCTGTTTAATGAGCAGACGTGAAAGTTCGACTCTGGAGGGTCTTACCCCTCTGAATGTGAACACCCCCAGTCGTGCCCCTTGCCCCCAGCTTGCCATTTCTAGGCTGAAAAGAAATAAAACTTTCTTTTCAGATTTTTAGAGTCCAGGGTCTTAACTCATGGATTAACAGAGCTACGGGGCTGTTCCCTTCCTGGCACCATCTTCTTTGGCTTCTCATGTAGACCGTGCTTTTCTTTTTATTTCCCTGCTCTTAACATATTCATAATGATTTCCAGTCTGATCCTTGTATATGCTGGGGGTGGGGGCCCGTTTGGAGGAGGTGACATTTGAAATGCAGAGACAGCAGAGAAGTGGAATTTGAAAGAGGAGGCAGAGTTGCTGTTCTACTGTGAATATCCTGAATGTGCGGGTTGAGGAGGCATGAGACTCTCCGGAGACTCAGGGGTCGGGCAGGGACGGCAGTGAGCTGGGGTGCAAGTGCCCGGGCAGCTTCCTTCTCAGGGGGCGGCAGGTTCTCTGACCACTAAGTATTTACCTACGGAGAGAAAAACATCTCTAATTTTTTAATCTAGTCTCCTTATGGCATTTTTTTTGGTCTTTTCTTTCTTTATTGTTGTTCAACTATGGTTTTCCCCATGTTTCTCCTACACTCTCCCCTACCCACCCCCCTCTCCCTCAATCCTTTGCCCCCTTTGCTTTGTCCTTGGGTTTTTTATACATGATCCTTGACAATCCTTCCCCTACTTAGTTTAATAATTATCTTCTGGAGGTCTCCTAATTTGTCAAGGCTTTTTAAAAAAAATCTTCTGCTGAGGATATGTTTAATGATTTTATAGTCAGAAGAAGGGGGAGAGAAAGAGACAAACATTAACGAGAGAGAGAAACATTCACTTGTTGCTTCTCTTTGTGACCCTACAAAGGATTGAACCAGCAACCTAGGTATGTGCCCAACAAGGAATTGAACCTGCACTTTTGGTGTATGGAACGACAATCCAACCAACTGAGGCTTTTGTTTGCAGCAATTACCAAAAATACAGATACGCTTATTACAATGGTGTGTTGAGTTCGGGATGGCACTAAGCTTCAAGTAAAGGAAAGTTCTGCCACAATAAATCCTTCAATAAATTAAAACTTTATTTATTTGCACTTCACGTGTGTAGAGTTAGGGATGGAGTTCAGGGCTATTCTGACCGTCTCATGATATTGTTAAAGAACTAGTCTTATTTTTTTATGCTCCATGATTCCCAGTGAGTGTCTTTTGCCCTTATGGCCACAGAATCGCTGCTCTACCTCCAAACACTCAATCTATCAGACACACAGGAAGTCTGGGAAGTCAAAATGAGGGATAGTGCTTAATAAATACAGAATTTCTGTTTGGAGTGATGAAAATGTAAGGTGGTGATGGTTGGACATTGTGTATGTACTTAATACCACTGAATGCACACTTAAAAGTGGTTATAATGAGAAATTCAGTTGTCTGTTTTTATTTTCTTGCGTCTTGTTGAGTATTTATGGAACTGCTCTCTTAAATTCTGTGTCATTTTCTTGTGTTCAAGTTTGCTTTCTGGAGATTTTTAAATATTCTTTCTAAGCTGCCTTGATACTTTGGTTAATCATGGTATTTTATGGGTCCCTTCTCTGTCAAGGCATGAATGTATGTGCGGCAGTTCTCTAGCAGATTACTAGGAAGAGGTCTTGCTATTATTTTCTATTAGATGGCACTGAATCCAAGTTTTTGAGCTCTGTGGAATCCCGAAGCCGACCCCCGTAGCTGCAGTCAGTGTAGCAGCAATGCTTGGTGGTGGGGGTGTCTGGGGTCAATTTGGCTGCCCTATTTGTTTACCCTCTGGGTAATGGTGAACTTGGACCTCCATGGGGTCCCCTCAGCGCCCCAATCAGGAATCAGTGACAGAGTACAATCTTTACTCAGGAGAAATAGTGATTCTATAGTAACCATTTTCGGATTTGCACATCAAGTGCTCCACAACCTGACACCAAGGGTGAGAGAAGGTGAGTTTTGGGAGTCTCTAGCACAGCAGGGCTCAATGGCTTTTTTTCTTTGTCTGGAATGCCAACTGCCTGAGAGCTGCAGCTGAGCCCCTGTGCTGTGTTCTTTTCCAGGTCCCTCATCACTTCTCGCCTTCCCTGATTGTTCCTTTTGACCACCTTTAAATGCTTCACTGTGTGGATCTCGCAGGCATGCATGGAGATTGCACAGGGAAGCCTATGTTGAATTATAGCTGTTTAAACTGTTGAAATCTCTGGGGGAGAGATCAAGGGGATCTCTCACGCTTCCATTTCTCTGATGTCACTTCCCTTTACCCATTTTAAAGCCAGCAGTGTATTTTTACAGTGAAGCATTTTTAAACCTTGCTCTGATACCAGCTCTATATTTTTCCTTCCTCTTTCACATTCAGAGTACCACGGTGATTACATTAGCCTCACCTATGTAATTATCGCCAATTGTACCTTTTAAATTTATTTTTACTTATAGTTGACATACAACATTGTATTAATTTCCGGTATATAACATAGTGATTCAATATTTATATACCTCACAAGGTGTTGACTACAATATATCTAGAGGCACACGTCATTGTACATAGTTAAGACAGTATTACTGACTGTATTCCCTTATGCTGTACTTTACATCCCCATGACTTAGGTTATAACCGGATGTTTATACTCCGAATCCCCTTCCCCTTCATCCTCCATCCCACACTTCTTCCTCTTTAGTAGCCATCAGCCTGTTTTGTGTATCTATGAATTTTTTTTTTTAGTTTGTACTTTGCTTTTTTTGGAAGAGATACCGTCTACCATTTCTCAGTGTGGATCAGCCACCTGAGCTCTAGATGTTACTCCAATCCATACATCGCTAGGCTTTTTTCCTGTTAAGGGATTTATTGAAGTATAATTACATAAGTGGAATATGATTAAAATATACAGTTTGATGAATAAAAACCATACAGAAATTAGAGTGCATACTTCATGTTTCCAGTTGTGAGTAAGTCAAGAAAGTGCACAATAAACTTTAATGGCTTCTCAATGTAATTGTTAAACCTGAGCCTCAATTTCTTTGTTTCTGAAAGTAATGTAGGATAAGAACAATAACTTCAGGTGAATATTTCAAGAAATAAATGAGATATATGGAAACATTTTGTTGAGTCCAAAACAACTGTTCAAAGTTAAAGTAGTGCCTATGTATATATATATTCATTCATGTACATTTTAATTTGAAATAAACACACATATACATACACACAGACTCATATATAATCTCATGTTTGAAAGGAAACTGAAGAGAAAGCTGAAAAGGATAAAAATGAAGTGAATGAATGTTTAAATTAACTAAAATTTAAAGATGTAGAAATTTAGACACGAAGATTTAAAGTAAATGGTAGTCATGGCCCGAGTTCAGTGGATTGAGTGTTGGCTTGTGAACCAAAGGGTCTCCGGTTTGATTCCCAGTCAGGGCACATGCCTGGGTTGTGGGCCAGGTGCTCAGTAGGGGGCGCACGAGAGGCAAACACGCATCGATGCTTCTCTCCCTCTCTTCCTCCCTTCCCCTCTCTAAAAATAAATAAATAAAATCTTTAAAAAAAAATAAAGTAAATGGTAGACATAAAATTAAATGAAATTCTTTTCTTATATCAATGTCTCAAAGGCATAAAATATGAAGCACACTGACACTTATGCAAGAAGAAATTCTCCAGCAGCCAGGGAGGCTCAATAGCTACAAACTGACTATACGTGTCTTCTACTTAAGGAGGCATTAGGAGGGATTACAATGCAAAATGCCTTTACCCAGGAGAGGCTAAAGGAATGAAGTGAGACACTTGATCTCAGATTCCTCAACAGAATTCCACTGGATAAATGTCTGTATTCAATTTTTAATGCTAACGTAAAATTACCACACTAGTGATTTAAACACATTTATGTTCTTACAGTTCCTGAGGTTTCATGGGGCCAAAATAAAGACATTTGCAGGGCTAGCTTTCTCTGGAGGCTACAGGGAAGAATCTATCTACTTTCTTATTCCAAGCTTAGATTACAATGCAAAAAAATCTAAATGCATTTCTTATAAGTAACAAGTATTTCATAGTGAGGGACTAGGTGACAGTTCTTAACCTGGGATGTGAGATTGAAATTCTGAGTTGTTTTGGCCAACGTGTCATGAGCTCAGTGTGTAACACTCAAGGTTTAATCAAAGGAACTTAGTTCCCCCTCTTGTTGATGAAAAAATAAATAAACAAATAGCAATTTTCTGTAGAGTTCAGGGGTTTTGCCCCTACCACAAGTCAGGATTTGGAGACTTGAGTTTCCTAATCCAGACTGGATCTTCAGTCTTAAATCTGGAAAAACTTTAAATCAGAGTTAGGATAAAGTGCTGGTAGGTTGTCTTCTGGAGGCCAACAGGTTTATGAGGAGGAACTAGTAAAAACTGGATTCACTGAACATCTAGCTGGCCTTTTGGGAACACAGAATCTCCAGGAGAACTTTTCCGTCTGTCTAGACCCACAGGGAAATCTTGTAATTAGATGTTGGAATAACAAGATGGAAATGCACCTAATGAGCAGACAAAGGGAGCTGCAAATAGCTCCTCATCTCCAGTCTCTCAGCGTGTGTGACCTTAGGCTGGATGGGACCGGCTTGTTTTCAAACCGTACGTTTGTCTAGGCGACCAATGCTTGTCTCCTTCCCGCTGTGTTGTCTGAGGAGAGAGCTTCAGTCCCCATCATCATCCATCCAGGAGGCTGGACTTTATTCCCTGGGAATACGTCCTCTCAGAGTTCCCAGTCAGGTGAGGCCAAGGGTGCAGTAGGTGCTCCAGGAAAGGGTCAGGGAGAGCCAAAGCCAAGCACGTTTACCTGAGTTCTCATGAAAACCATCGTCCTATGGTTGTTTCGTAGCCTGATTAACTAATTCATGATTTTTTTTTTCTTTTTTAAAAAATTATTGTTGTTCTGTAACGGTTGTCCCGCCTTTTTCCCCATTGCTCTCCCCTGTACCGTCCATCCCAACCCCCACAGTCAAGCCTCCGTGAGTCCTCTCTTTGTGTTCCTTGGCTTGCCCCTTCACCTTCTTTCCCCCTCCCCTCTGGTCACTGTCAGTTTGTTCTGTATTTCCAAGTCCCTGATTCTATTTGCTCTTTTATTTGTTTTGTTGATTACTTTCCCTTAGGTGAGACCATATGGTATTTGTCTTTCACCATGTGGCTTATTTCACTTAGCATAATGCCCTCTGTTCCATCCCTGCTGTAGAGAAGGGTTGGAGTTCTTCTTTCTGCTGCGTAGTATTCCTAAAAAGAGAAATAGAGATTAAACTCAGCAACACAGAGGTCATTGCTGACAACTAATTGATGGAAACCCAATTAGAGGTGGCAATGGGAGGCAGGAAGAATCTCAAGGAAAAGCAGACATGTACAAGGAGTTTTGCAGCTAAAGGGAGTAGGGAGTTTTGCAACTGAATAGAGTACTCGGCATGGAGAGGAGTCCAGCAAAGTGAGGGCAGGTCTTCTCTATTTCTGTCAGGGGGTATATTCAACACTGTTTCCATATCGATGAGACAGATCCCTATCCAACATACTTCTTGCAAATATTACCTTGCAAGTGTAGTCACGAGACATACATTTCGCAGTATCTTTTTTGCTCTGGGTATTTGAGTCACACGTGGAAGAATTTATTTGATAAGTAAAAGAAGGTGCACCAAATAGCTTAACTTTGCCAGTACTTCATTACCTGTGCCTGAATATGTTTGTGGGTTATTCATTTGTTTCCTTTATTGTAAGTTGTCTGCAAAGCCTGACATTTGCATAATGGGGTCAGAATGATTTCATTCCTGTTCTTAATTGCATTCTTCTGAACAAGGAATTAGAGGGGTTTTTCTCTAACTTTGTTGTTTGTCCTTGCGTACCTTTATGTATGCATATGTGGGGAATTGTATTTATTAAGAGTGTCGGCTCAAATCTATCACTCAGTCACATTGTATTCTCTCCATTGTTTTTCTATTTTTTACTTTTCTTACTGAAGAAAAATACAGCTGTTACTTTTATATTCTTCCCTTGTGAATCCTTGGTATAAACAAAAAAATGAAAGTGAATGTTCTTCTGTATACTTAGTGCTAATAAATCACCCTACGTACGTACTTCCAGTTTGTTCACATCTCTGTTGTTCTTTATTGTTCCTTTGGCCTTTTGTGATTAGCTCTGTTTTCAAAATTGTCATCATCTTCTACCATCCTCTGGAAGGCAATCTTTATAAAGATTTGACTAAAGATTACCTTTACCTTCCATAAGCTACATAACATTCTGTGGTGTTGCTGTGCTATTCACAGTTGAAATCTAATGTATACTTTCTCAATACATTGCTATTAGAACGATATATGAAAATACTTTGAGATTGTTACATTAAAACTCTGGTTCTCCACCAGAGGCAATACTGTTCCCCTAGGGGACACTGAGCAGTCTTAGGAGGCATTGTGGCTGTCACAAGGAAGGTGTCAGTGAAGTCCAGGTAGCTCTAAACATCCTGCAGTGCCCAGGAGAGACCCACCGCAGACAAAGACCTGGCCCAGGATGTCGAGGCTGCAGAGGCTGAGGAACTTGAGTTAGAGAACATAGTACTTGTAGTATTTATAGGTGCCTTCAGATTTGTTTTCCCAATGTTGTAACTCTTTATAGTTCTGCCAGAAAAAAAATATAGAGCACCGAATTGCTACCTGTTTAAAATTTCAACCCCAGTCAATGTGACACCTGTCTAAGATTGTTTTCCAGGCTGACAGGTATGAAAGAGCTTTTTTGATGTTTTCTGGACTTTTTCTGATTTTGATCAAAGTTTCATTTTGATGGTCTTTTTAATTAGAATATTATCCTGTGCTTATTATTCTTTCATTGTCAGCCTTTTAAATCATTTTCAAAAATTATTACAGTGGAGGGACGTAAAAGAGGGTAAAAGGGAGATAAATGGTGATGGAAGGAGACTTGACTTGGGCGCTGAACACACAACGCAATGCACAGGTGATGTATTATAGAGCTGTACACCTGAAATCTACATAATTTTATTAAACAAAGTCATCCCAATTAATTTAATAAAAATTAAGAAAATATAAATAAAAAATAAAGAAAAATTGTTATTTCTCAATTGGCTTTGGTGGATGTTAGGCCATAAAAATGTTTTGCATTTTAGTTAGTTAAATATGATTGTCTTATTACTTCTGAGTCTCTTGACTGAATTAGGGTGGTTTGGCCCACCCATCAATATTAATGTGTAGTTTTCTATCTGTTCACCTGAAAAGGACTGGTTACTCTTCCAGTACCTAGGCAAGCCCTCAGATTTTATGTAACATGGCTGAGGTAGGAGATCAACTTCAATTTCTTCCCGGTGGATATTTATTTTTCCACTTTTATTCAACAATCCAATCTTTCCGAGTATATTGAAAAGCAACCTTACCATGTGCTAAATGTACTTATATACAGAAGTCTAATTCTTGATTCATTTAATGAATAAAACTGAGCCTCTGCTTTGCCATAATGTCTAGGAACATTATACAGTGCCTTCTGTGTCTATGCCTTTGCCAGTTTAACTAGTAATGCATATTGGTAGTTATATCTTGTTTTCATCAGTTGTTGATGCTCCACTCAATTTTCTGTAACACAGTTGCTTTGAAATCACTCTGTTTAACCATGTTTTATTCTTCCTGCCATTCCTTTCATTTCATAACTTCACATTTACTTATATGTGTTCCTATGTAAGTGCACATATATACACACATTTGTGAAAATGTAAAGGTGAACAAAAGAGGTGAAACCCTGCTTGTTCAGCTCTGACATTGTGATGGGGAAGGCAGAGTATGGGGAAACAGTGTATGACAACGTATTCGGTCTTAAGTCACATGAAGACATTTACTCCGTGTAAAGGGATGGATTATCATGGCATGTGCAGGCTTTATTGATCATGTCCTGGAGAGGCCTTTGCCCTTCGGGTGAAGACCAGAAGAAGAATTAGACATTGCTTATTGATTTGTCAAAAATTAGATGAAAACCCAAAGTCCAAGAAAAATAAAGAAGCCACATGAGGAAAGCGAGGAAGGGATTTGTCTCATCTGCATTTAACCTTATAAAAAATGACTGGTCAAATAACTATAGAATAGGCACAGGAAAAACCAGTCTTCCACTGGTTAATATTAAAAATATTTCCTTTTGTAGACCTGGCTGGTGTGGTTTAATGGATTGAATGCGAGCCCAAACTTTGGCCTGTGAACCAAAGGGTCACTTGTTCAGTTCCCAGTCAGGGCACATACCTGGGTTGCGGGCTTGGTCCCCAGTAGACGACATGTTAGAGGCAACCACATATTGATGTTTCTTTCCCTCCTTTCTCCCCCACTTCCCCTTTCTCTAAAAATAAATAAATACAATTAAAAAAATTTCCTTTTGTAAAATACTGTTTTATTTTGTTCGTCAGTTTTCACTTGGGATAGTCAACCTGTAAGGTGTTTCCATGCAGTATGTTGATAACTACTTTGTCTTTTGGACAGATGTGTTTTTTTCTCCTTTGTTATTTTTTTCTTGACCTCAAGGGTGTGTAATTAGGTTGGAAATCTGCCACAATCCAAAGACTTTTCTTCCTCATTTTTCCTCAGGGACCACCTGAGCTTGCTATCCCTAGGTCTTTTTTCTTCCTCATGTCCACTTTATTCCTCTCTCCCTCTGCATTTATGTTTCTGTAAGTACAGGGCATAAAATGCATGGGCATTCCAACAGGGAACCCCAAGCTTATTTGTCCATGGGAGGCTTACCATAGGAATCTCGAGGTACTATGTCTAAATTCTTTTTGGAAAAAGATACTTGGTTTGGTAGCTTGAGTTGTATCTACTCATAGCCTAAAAGGTGAGTGAGACACATGTGGAGATAACAGATGAGGAGGCCATGGGTGGGTGGGTGGGGGTGTGTGTGTGTGTGTGTGTGCACACTTGCCTCATAAACCGAAAGCAGTGCTCAGAGCAGGGGCAACTGGATTCATTTATTCCAAGGTGATATACAATACAGGGGCCAGAGCCCGCACCAAGAGAAGAGACTAAGGAGGAGATCCTTTTCAATTCACTGGATGCTTTTGCAACCAGCTTAATAAAGTGCAAGTATTATTTAGTGTGCACAAGGGACCCTATGTGACTTGAAGTTCAACAGCCACACACAGGCCACCTTGTTTTTTAAAATTCTCTGATGTCACCTTTCATGCCCCTTGACACACTGGCTCGTTCTGAGCCTTGATTTTCTAAAACAACCATTTTCCTCTGGGTGTTTGCACTGGCTGTTCCTTCTGCGTGGCAAACACTTCATCCCCTTGGCTTTTCCCTTAGTCTTCTTTAAGGTGTCTGTTAAAGTGTTGCTTGTTGGCATGTCTTGGCTAAACTCTATAAAAATGAACACGCTCAGCATGGATGGACCTGGAGAACTTTATGCTAAGTGAAATAAGCACGTCAGAGGAAGACAAATGCCATATGGTTTCACTTATATGTGGAATCTAATGAATAAATTGATCTAACAAGCAAAATAGGGACAGATGGATAGAGAAAGAGGAGGATGACAGCTGTTGAGGGGGAGGATGGGGGCGGAGGGGTTGAGCAAAAAGGAAAAATGACTCATGGACATGGACAACTGTGTGGTGATAGTGGAGGGGAGGGAGATAACGGGGGGTTAAATGGTAATAAGAAAATACAATAAAAAATTGAGAGAAATAAAGAACACTACTCTCTCCATTTAATATGATTTACTTTTCTATATAACATGTGCACCATTGGATATGTTATATTATTATGTTTATATGATTATGTTCTTTGTCCATCATTAGTTTCTACAGGCTTCTGTATTTCATCTTCCCATACTCTGAACAGTGCCTGGACGTGGTCTAGTCAAGATACAAGTATATTCCTCAAATGCATGAACGATATTCTTAATAAAACAGGAATGTATTTTGTGTTTGAAGAATGGGTTGATGGTAGAAAAGGAAATTCTAATGGGACATGGCAATAGACATGCCTTAATGGGAACCAGATATTACATCAAAATGGAAATTATTTTTCATATTCTAAAATATAAATGTAACATTTATTCTTGGTTACTAAGGCTTGCTAATGTGAAAATTAGTTATTCATCTTTTTCTATTTTTTTAGTAGTCACTTGCACCACATGAAACCAGGCAATGGTACACAAATTTCAGGATTCCTTCTCCTGGGACTCTCAGAGGAACCAGAACTGCAGCCCCTCCTGTTTGGGCTGTTCCTCTCCATGTACCTGGTCACTGTGCTGGGAAACCTGCTCATCATCCTGGCCGTCAGCTCAGACTCCCGCCTTCACACGCCCATGTACTTCTTCCTCTGCAACCTGTCCTTGGCTGACATCTGCTTCACCTCCACCACTGTCCCGAAGATGCTGGTGAACATCCAGACACAGAGCAAAGCCATCACCTATGCAGGCTGCATCACCCAGATGTATTTTTATATACATTTTGCAGCGTTGGATGACTTCATCCTTACTGTCATGGCATATGACAGGCATGTGGCCATCTGTCACCCCCTTCACTACATAGTCATCATGAACCCTCGGTTCTGTGGACGACTAGTTCTTGTGTCCTGGATCATGAGTGTCCTGAATTCCCTGATAGAAAGCTTGATGGTATTAGATCTTCCCTTCTGCTCAGACTTGGAAATCCCCCACTTTTTCTGTGAACTGAAACAGGTGGTCCAACTCGCCTGTTCTGACACGTTTCTTAATGACATGGTGATGTATTTTTCAGCTGGGCTGCTGGGTGGTTGTCCCCTGGCTGGGATCCTTTACTCTTACTCTAAGATAGTGTCCTCCATATGTGCAATCTCATCAGCTCAGGGGAAGTACAAAGCCTTTTCCACCTGTGCATCTCACCTCTCCGTTGTCTCCTTATTTTACGGTACGAGCCTAGGCGTGTACCTCAGCTCTGCCAGTACACACAGCTCACAGTCAAGTGCAACAGCCTCAGTGATGTACACCGTGGTCACACCCATGCTGAACCCCTTCATTTACAGCCTCAGGAACAGAGACATAAAGGGGGCCCTGGAAAGATTCCTTGGCAGGTAGGCTTTCAAGGGCCAGCTGTACTAGGCTGAAAAAGTGCCCATGAGTGCAGGGTTCAAAACCTCAGAGCTCTTGCACACATTAATACAATCTTTGGACCCCACATAATTAGAAATTCTCATGCATCTCATGGGTTAACGTGAATTACTTTAGCCTAATTTATCCTCTTATGAGATATGTCATTCCAAGTAATTTGTCTATTGTTTTACTGGAAGAATAGTCATGAATTATACTACTCCTCTGGACTGAACCACACTCGGCTACTGAGGGCATTTACATGATTTTGTTGTAGAGGAACATGTGAGAGCACGGTTTTCACTTACATGTTCGTCATTATTTTCCTATAGCACTACCTTTACTGTGCTTCTTGATGCTGTAGACTTGAGCATGCTAGTAGGTTTTATAGCAGGGCTCCTGGTTTTACCTACTTCATCCTGTTATTCAGCTGTGTGTCCACATGCCTACCACAGCCACTGGCAAAAATCGACTGTCAAATAGATGTTTCCAAGAAGGGTCTACTAAGAAATATACATTTTACTAAATAGGCTGCTCTAATATGGTTAAGTAAGAAATGCCCTTAAATATGATGAAGCAAAAATACCCATACAATTTATTGTTATAGAAAAATATTTTTCACGCTGCACATCTACTGACTGAAGTTTGGAATATGATGTGCATGTGTAAGGAGTGAAGAATTGTGTGGAGGGTTTTGTGTTCTTTTTCCTGAACTACTTTCCTGTTTCAGCTTGAACACTTTCAACGTGCTCTCTATAAATGTGACTCCTTCTAGTGCTCTAAGTATAATATCTTCCCTGTTCTAAATGCTTTCAAATCCACCAAAAGGAGAGTGCGTGGCCAGTGTGACTATCATACATTGTATCTCCTTTACACGCAGGGATGTCTTCAGTCCATATGATCCAAGAATGAATCACCCAGGAGTTTAAATCCTGCCCAGTCATGTGAGGAAGGATCAGACATTTTTCTGCACAGACATGCATGTCCTGCCACCCTGTCCAGACTTCCTGGAAAGGAACCTTAATGGGCTCACTTTTACGCAGTTATTGAAATACATTTGAATAAAAGCATGATTGGGAATGCAGTCCTCCAATATTAGTAAAATGCTAACAGTAAGAAGTAGCAGATTATTACAATTTCCCTCAGTTCTGTTCACTTTCATTGCAGTAGCAGTTTGCTATTGCTGTGTACCAAGTCACCCTGAAAAACAAATAGTTTAATACAATTCCTTATTTTCTAATGGGTTTGTATAGGGGCGGGGTGTACTGGTCTCTGCCGCTCTCTCTGTTGAGTCTGCAGTCCGCTCTGGGTCAGCGGGGGTGTGTCTGCTGACCCTGGCTGGGCTTTGCAATACATTAGGGGCTCAGCTGTTGTGGCTGATCTAGGGAGGCCTTGGCTGGGATAAGTGAGGGGCATGGCCCCTCCTCCTCTGGAAGGCCCACCTGGATTGTTCACACGGCTGAGCCAGCGTTCAAGCGAGAGCAGCCAAAATGGCAAGGCCCGGTGCAACACGCTGCCACTTCCACCATATTTATCGGCCAAAAGAGATAAAGAATCCTAAATCCAGCCCAGATTTAGGGGTGGAAACATCGGCTCGGGCTCTGGGTGGGAAGAGCTTCACAGTCACATTGCCAAAGACCGGAAACAGACGAAGAAGTGGGGCCACCTCTGCAAACAGTCTACCACTTGTGTCACCTTCCACTCAGTCAAGTCTTATTTCTGAGTCACGCCCTCCCTACCAGCTGAATGATCTTAGAGAAGAAGGTGAGAGTAAAAATCTGTTTAATGAGCAGACGTGAAAGTTCGACTCTGGAGGGTCTTACCCCTCTGAATGTGAACACCCCCAGTCGTGCCCCTTGCCCCCAGCTTGCCATTTCTAGGCTGAAAAGAAATAAAACTTTCTTTTCAGATTTTTAGAGTCCAGGGTCTTAACTCATGGATTAACAGAGCTACGGGGCTGTTCCCTTCCTGGCACCATCTTCTTTGGCTTCCTCATGTAGACCGTGCTTTTCTTTTATTTCCCTGCTCTTAACATATTCATAATGATTTCCAGTCTGATCCTTGTATATGCTGGGGGTGGGGGCCTGTTTGGAGGAGGTGACATTTGAAATGCAGAGACAGCAGAGAAGTGGAATTTGAAAGAGGAGGCAGAGTTGCTGTTCCACTGTGAATATCCTGAATGTGTGGGTGAGGAGGCATGAGACTCTCTGGAGACTCAGGTGTCGGGCAGGGACGGCAGTGAGCTGGGGTGCAAGTGCCCGGGCAGCTTCCTTCTCAGGGGGCGGCAGGTTCTCTGACCACTAAGTATTTACCTACGGAGAGAAAAACATCTCTAATTTTTTAATCTAGTCTCCTTATGGCATTTTTTTGGTCTTTTCTTTCTTTATTGTTGTTCAACTATGGTTTTCCCCATGTTTCTCCTACACTCTCCCCTACCCACCCCCTCTCCCTCAATCCTTTGCCCCCTTTGCTTTGTCCTTGGGTTTTTTATACATGATCCTTGACAATCCTTCCCCTACTTAGTTTAATAATTATCTTCTGGAGGTCTCCTAATTTGTCAAGGCTTTTTAAAAAAAATCTTCTGCTGAGGATATGTTTATTGATTTTATAGTCAGAAGAAGGGGGAGAGAAAGAGACAAACATTAACGAGAGAGAGAAACATTCACTTGTTGCTTCTCTTTGTGACCCTACAAAGGATTGAACCAGCAACCTAGGTATGTGCCCAACCAGGAATTGAACCTGCATTTTTGGTGTATGGAATGACAATCCAACCAACTGAGGCTTTTGTTTGCAGCAATTACCAAAAATACAGATACGCTTATTACAATGGTGTGTTGAGTTCGGGATGGCACTAAGCTTCAAGTAAAGGAAAGTTCTGCCACAATAAATCCTTCAATAAATTAAAACTTTATTTATTTGCACTTCACGTGTGTAGAGTTAGGGATGGAGTTCAGGGCTATTCTGACCGTCTCATGATATTGTTAAAGAACTAGTCTTATTTTTTTATGCTCCATGATTCCCAGTGAGTGTCTTTTGCCCTTATGGCCACAGAATCGCTGCTCTACCTCCAAACACTCAATCTATCAGACACACAGGAAGTCTGGGAAGTCAAAATGAGGGATAGTGCTTAATAAATACAGAATTTCTGTTTGGAGTGATGAAAATGTAAGGTGGTGATGGTTGGACATTGTGTATGTACTTAATACCACTGAATGCACACTTAAAAGTGGTTATAATGAGAAATTCAGTTGTCTGTTTTTATTTTCTTGCGTCTTGTTGAGTATTTATGGAACTGCTCTCTTAAATTCTGTGTCATTTTCTTGTGTTCAAGTTTGCTTTCTGGAGATTTTTAAATATTCTTTCTAAGCTGCCTTGATACTTTGGTTAATCATGGTATTTTATGGGTCCCTTCTCTGTCAAGGCATGAATGTATGTGCGGCAGTTCTCTAGCAGATTACTAGGAAGAGGTCTTGCTATTATTTTCTATTAGATGGCACTGAATCCAAGTTTTTGAGCTCTGTGGAATCCCGAAGCCGACCCCCGTAGCTGCAGTCAGTGTAGCAGCAATGCTTGGTGGTGGGGGTGTCTGGGGTCAATTTGGCTGCCCTATTTGTTTACCCTCTGGGTAATGGTGAACTTGGACCTCCATGGGGTCCCCTCAGCGCCCCAATCAGGAATCAGTGACAGAGTACAATCTTTACTCAGGAGAAATAGTGATTCTATAGTAACCATTTTCGGATTTGCACATCAAGTGCTCCACAACCTGACACCAAGGGTGACAGAAGGTGAGTTTTGGGAGTCTCTAGCACAGCAGGGCTCAATGGCTTTTTTTCTTTGTCTGGAATGCCAACTGCTTGAGAGCTGCAGCTGAGCCCCTGTGCTGTGTTCTTTTCCAGGTCCCTCATCACTTCTCGCCTTCCCTGATTGTTCCTTTTGACCACCTTTAAATGCTTCACTGTGTGGATCTCGCAGGCATGCATGGAGATTGCACAGGGAAGCCTATGTTGAATTATAGCTGTTTAAACTGTTGAAATCTCTGGGGGAGAGATCAAGGTGATCTCTCACGCTTCCATTTCTCTGATGTCACTTCCCTTTACCCATTTTAAAGCCAGCAGTGTATTTTTACAGTGAAGCATTTTTAAACCTTGCTCTGATACCAGCTCTATATTTTTCCTTCCTCTTTCACATTCAGAGTACCACGGTGATTACATTAGCCTCACCTATGTAATTATCGCCAATTGTACCTTTTAAATTTATTTTTACTTATAGTTGACATACAACATTGTATTAATTTCCGGTATATAACATAGTGATTCAATATTTATATACCTCACAAGGTGTTGACTACAATATATCTAGAGGCACACGTCATTGTACATAGTTAAGACAGTATTACTGACTGTATTCCCTATGCTGTACTTTACATCCCCATGACTTAGGTTATAACCAGATGTTTATACTCCGAATCCCCTTCCCCTTCATCCTCCATCCCACACTTCTTCCTCTTTAGTAGCCATCAGCCTGTTTTGTGTATCTATGAATTTTTTTTTTTAGTTTGTACTTTGCTTTTTTTGGAAGAGATACCGTCTACCATTTCTCAGTGTGGATCAGCCACCTGAGCTCTAGATGTTACTCCAATCCATACATCGCTAGGCTTTTTTCCTGTTAAGGGATTTATTGAAGTATAATTACATAAGTGGAATATGATTAAAATATACAGTTTGATGAATAAAAACCATACAGAAATTAGAGTGCATACTTCATGTTTCCAGTTGTGAGTAAGTCAAGAAAGTGCACAATAAACTTTAATGGCTTCTCAATGTAATTGTTAAACCTGAGCCTCAATTTCTTTGTTTCTGAAAGTAATGTAGGATAAGAACAATAACTTCAGGTGAATATTTCAAGAAATAAATGAGATATATGGAAACATTTTGTTGAGTCCAAAACAACTGTTCAAAGTTAAAGTAGTGCCTATGTATATATATATT